AAAGAAAATAATCAAAAAAGGAAGAGATAACTCACAGAATGGGAGAAAATATTTGCAAACTACCCATCTGACAAGAGATTAATAAGTAGAATATATAAGGAGTTCAAATAACTCAATAAGAAAAAAATCAAATAATCTGATTAAAAATGAGCAAAAGATCTGAATAGACATTCTCAAAAGAAGACATACAAATGGCCAATAGGTATATAAGAAAAATGCTCAACATCATTAGTCATCAGAAAATGCAAATCAAAACTACAAGAGATATCATCTTGCCCGAGTTAAAATGGCTTTTATCAAAAAGACAGGCAATAACGAATACTGGTGAGGATGTGGAGAAAGGGGAACTGTCATACACTGTTAATGGGAATGCAAATTAGTGTAACCACTATGGAGAACAGTATGGAAGTTCTTCAAAAAACTGAAAATAGAATTACTATATGACCCAGTAATCCCACTGCTAAGTATATATCCAAAAGAAAGGAAATCAGTATATTGAAAAGATATTTGCACTCCCATGTTTATTGCAGCATTATTCACAGTAGATAAGATTTGGAATCAACCTAAGTATCCACCAACAGATGAATGGATAATAAAACTGTGGTATATATACACAATGCAATGTTACATAGCCATAAAAAAGAATGAATCCTGCCCTTGCAAAACCATGGATGGAATGGGAGAACATTATGTTAAACGAAATAAGCCAAGCACAGAAAGACAAATCTTACATGTTCTCACTCACATATGGGAGCTAAATATTAAAACAATTGATCTCATGGAGACCGAGAGTAGAACAGTTATTTCCAGAGGCTGGGAAGTGTAGTGGGGATGGGGGTGGGGGGTAAGTGGGGTTGGTTAATGGGTGCAAAAATATAGTTAGTTAGAATGAACAATATTTGATAGCACAATAAACTGACTATAATCAATAAGTTAGGGTATACTTTAAAATAACTAAAAGAGTGGAATTAGAATGTTCCTAACACAAAGAAATGATAAATGCTTGAGGTGGGATACCGCAATTACCCTGATTTGATTAATACACATTGTTTGCCTATATCGAAACATCACATGTACCCTATAAATATATATAATTATTATGTACTCATAATTAAAAATTTAAAAATAGAAAAAGAAACAATGAGTAAGAAACAATCTTTTCCATTAGTGACCATAAACTCTGGTATGGAAGATAGTAAATAGCTGATCACAAATCAATATGAGAGAGGGAATAAATGGTCTATTTCTTATTTACAAACCAGTTAAAAACTATTAGAAGGTATACTGAAGAAAGGCCAATTAAATTTAAGAAATAATTTTTGTGAGGTCATTTTATGAAAGAGACTATGCCAGAAAAAAGTAGCAGTGATTGTTAATGTTACCTTGATTCTCATTGATGAGTTTCAAATTCAATTAGTAATAGTAACAATATCATCGAATGTTTAAAACTTTTATTAAGTATTCACTATGTGCCAAACACAATTCTAAGAAGCACTTTAGATGTTTTAACTCATTAAACATCACAATAAATTTTGAGGTCAGTACCACTATTACCCACACTTGGTGGCCCCCCCCAAAAAAATGGAGGCACAGAGTAATTAAGAAACCTGCCCTATACTGCATATCTGGTAAGTACTAGAGCAAGGTTTGAAACATTAGCAGTCTAGATTTAGAGTCAGTATTTGTAACCAGTGTACTACCTTGCTTGCTCAGAGGCCTTCTTCAGACAGGCTCGCCTGTTACCAAAAGAGCTGCTATGCCCTCACTATCCGCTGCCCTCATTATACCAGAACCCAATTTGCTTTATACCCAAAGCAGCATTTATCCTCCGTGAGGCTCAAGAGCCCAGTTATTCATCTCCAATTGAGGCAGAAGATGCAGAGGGCCTACCTGATGAATAAGACTTGTTATGAGAGGAAGGAGAGGGGATGATGAGGGTAGGAGGAAGGAGTGGACATGCAGGAGAAGAACCACTACTGGTAAGTCTATTCAAGATGAGCTCAGAAAAGGAACCAGGAAGAAGAAATTAACCTCAACTGAAGAAAATGTAAGACCAAGCAGTAATAAAGCCCATAAGCAATAGAATGACAGGACTAGACATAAAACCAAGTTGATCTCAATAAAAGAAACCCATTTTACTAAATTTTATTTCTTCTGAGGACCCCCTAGCCTCTCAATAACCCTTGTTAACTTCTTAGAACAGCAGGAGTGGCAGATGGGAGGATTATGGGTCATTTGGGGACACTTTAAATTTGAGGTGCCTGTGGAACAATCCAATGGAGATGGTCAGCGGGCAGTCAGAGATGCGAGTCTGCAGCTCAAGGAAGAGGTCTGGCCTGACCCCAAATCTCCTGGGACCTCATCTCCAGCTCTAGCCAAGATGCCACGTTGCTTCCCTCTGCTTCTGGCACATTCCTCAAAAGAAACAATGAGGCTTTCTTCAGTTTGGATTGCTAATTTCAAAGGTTTTAAAGTAAACTATACTCAAAGATCTTGGCTGGTATCGACTAGTATGCACCTGGATGTTGGCACACCCCTCCTCAAATGCTTGTGAGAATTACAGTTATCAGAGTAGGTGATCAGCCATGCATCTGGAACTCCTCTCTACTCCCAGCCCGAGAATGGATGGCCACTGTTTGCCTTTGCCCTTCACCTTGTGAGCAATAAAACACAATTTATCTTGCCTGTTCTTGAGAGCATGCCAGAAAGAAAAACTTGGCATGCCATTTACCCAAGTTTGCTAACTCCTGCTAGGATGTGTATCTCATAGATGATCAAAAGGTAGCCAGGATAAATTATAACAATACCTTCACATGCCATTTGTGTTTACAGTTTACTTTTCAGAATACTACTCAGTACTTATATTTCAACATAATTTAATATTAACCTTTTTTTTAAACATTGAGAATTAAAAAATAACAATCTGGTCTGTCGAACACTCAAGGGAGAAGTTCAGGGCTTTAGAGAACCTAAGGAAGGTCTGGTTCTTGGCATTTACAATCAAAACAAGATAGTAAAAATAAAATTGGAAATATGACATTCTCTTAAATTGAGCTATAGCAGGAATTTAGGTGGTTTAGTGATAAAAATCTATATGAATTCTAAGATACCAAAGAACTACTGAGGTTATTTGCTAATCAAAAAGTGCACCTGTTTGTACATGAGCTCAAGGCAATGCTATCATTCTGCCAGGCACTGGGTCACAGCAACTTGTTTGTCCCTTAACATCTAATCAGTCATCAAGTCCTGTGTTTTATAATGTGTTTTTTCTTTTTACTCCCATGGTAACCACTCTTGGCTAGATGTTACAGAAGATTGGTGAGAGCCTAGGAGAGAAGACAAGGAATTATAAGTCATGAATTTGAGTAGTGAAAAAAATGGATTTTAAAAGGATGAATTTGAATGGAATGTGAAAATAATGTGGCCCCTCATAGGCAGGAACACTGCATTTCCTTAAGACACATACTAAACTATATCCTTGCCTTGGGTTATACTTATAAACTAAATTCTATAATTAAAATGGTAATGTATCAATGGAATGCCAAGCAATAATAGAGGCTGTAGTAATTCTAAAACAGTAGTAAAGTACAAAAAATGGTTGCCCAGTTAACTGAGTAGAAGCCATCTAAATTAAGAGTTGAGCAGGGTGATTGAAGAATCATCAGTATAATAATAAAAATTGATAGCCTGTATATATGAGGTTATCTTGAAGGAAAATGCTGGGCAAAGTGGAGATGGTTTGTTATGTCTCACAGAAGAGCAAGTTCATGTGTGAGGACATGACTATGTACTCACATGCACATGTATATGTATGAAGTCTAAGGAAAAAAGAAATTCAAGACTCTCCACCATGAGGGCCTAACCACCCTCTCCAACCCCTCCTCCCACTACTTGCCATGGGATTCTTTGCTCTGCTCACAAGGGTCTGCTAGTTCTCCTCCGTACTCCCACCTCCTCACCCTTGTTCACATCATAATCCTGACCACGTGTCCTCTCCTGTGACTCTCTGCATCTTAATGTCCTTCCAGGTCCAGCTCAAGTTCCATGTCCCCTTGCAAGCCCTTCCTGACAAGCCCAGGCCACAGTGTCTTCTCCTCCCTCTGTCCTCTTACAGTCGCTGACACTCACTCAGGTACAGAGTAAAACAAAAGTCCCCTCACAAACATTTCAATTGACCATCTACTGTCTTTGGTTCCTGGGTGCCTTCTTGAGTCTTTCTTAGGGTCAAATCCCCTCAGTAGAAGAGAAGTTGTTTAGGGTAGGGATTGTGTCTTCACACGTCTTTAAATCCTCCATAGCACAAGGCCAAGCCCTACATGTGCTCCAATAAACATCTGCTGATGTGAACAAGCAGTATCATACAATGTTCAAAGGAAAATACTACATGAAATAAGAGAATATTCTGGCCGGGCATGGTGGCTCACTCCTGTAATCCCAGCACTTCGGGAGGCCAAGGCAGGAGGAGTTTGAGACCAGCCCAGGCAACATAGCAGGAGCCCATCTCTACAACAAAATTAAAATATTAGCCTGGTGTGGTGGCGCGTACCTGTGGTCCTAGCTATTTGGGAGGCTTAGGGCTGAGGCAGGAGGATCCCTTGAACCCAGGAGTTCAAGGTTACAGTGAGCTATGATTGTACCAGTGCACTCCAGCCTGGGTGATGGAGAAAGACCCTATCTTTTAAAGAAAAAACAGTATGAGAATATTCTGATTCTAACATACAAGAATTGTCTTTTCACTAAATACCTCTTAAGATAATAAGACTGTTGACTTGAGGTGAGGTAAAGCTCAAAAGTAAATGGAAGAGGGAGCTTAAGTAAGTGAAGCCAGACATAGAGACTGGAGAGTAAGATTCTCACAAGGTACATGTAAGCCATACAAAGGAAAAATCAACAATTGTTTGATAGAAGTCAGATGTAAAAACACAATATTGTATCCAAACCATGGCACCAAAAAAAGTAAAAAAAGAAAACGAATAAATTTCGAAAATGTAAAAACATACCAGTGTTTCCTTGAGCATCTTCCACCTTATTTGGTGAGGGCAACAGAAAAGACGGCCTGGTGAAGCGAGGCCCTTGAACAGACGGCTGCTGCTGCGGCTGCAAAGGCGCGGTTGTGAGGACTGCCCTCCAGTCCACGTGGGTGATGTCTGATCTCGATCGAGCATGCCCGGGCTTGAAAGTAGAGGAGGTCTCATCCAGTAAGTCATTCACAGAACGAGGTCTGTCCCTCCGACGCTGACAGATATTGAAAAAATTAAAGGTTGACGCTTCCTTTTGTTCCATCCAGGAGAGGTTATCTGGGGTGGTCCCTCTCTGGACCATAAACTGTTCTTTGGCAGGGAAGACATTTTGAGCTTTGGTTTCTAAGAGCCTGCTCTTACAGTGGTCCCAAATCATGCCCCCCTTGCCCAGCGAGGGAACATTTCCCATAGCACCATTGCCTGTTAGGTTGCTGAGTACCTCGTGCCCCACCAGTTCAGGGACTTCCTGGATCCCATAAACCTCTGCATGCTGCACAGCCTTTTCTAGCTTGCTGTCCAAAGTACTAAAGAATTCCTCGGTAACTTCTAAGGCCGGGCTGATATCATCCACTTCCAAAGCTTCCATGTCACAGGCTCCAAGAGGCCTTCACCTCCTAAGCTAGTTCAAGAAAGGGTTTCATGAACATTCACCCACGAAGAGAGGTGCTTCAGCAACAGAGCTATGCAAACAACTGGAAGAAACCTTCATTCGGCTTCCTGGAGCAGGCCAAGCACACAAGGGTGGTTGATGTTTTCCCGGTCATTAAAAACATTTGCTAGCTGCAAATGGACACTAACAGAGGTATGGGGAGACAAATGTTCCTTTGAGATTATTCTTCAGTGAGATCTCCATGAAGACAACAGGAAGTGCTTGATTTCCTGGAAGAAAATAAACAGAATAACTTTAGCACGTGGTTCTTTGTATTCTGTAATACACAAATCTGCCCAATTAATTTTCCATTGTTACACCTCTTCTATGGCAGTCATGTACAAAGGTGAACAACACCTACACAGAAGTTCCATTGTCAGGAGTACACACCACTACCTGCTTTGTACAAGAACTTACCCAGAGCAGGGTGGAGCACTTGATAAGAGGAATTAAGGTCAATAGCTTTCACTCACACAGAGAATCCTTTGAGAGCAGTTGTGAAAAGATTGCCCTGGCAAATCTCTGATATGTTGACCTAAAATAGTAAGCAAAAGAGACTAGGAATTCTGTGACTATACTGTAATCATTCTGAAAGTCATAAATGCTTGAGTCCTTTTACAAATCTTAAAAGCACTGATGATTTTTTGGGCTTAAAGGAGCAAGGGGGAAGCGGAGAAGGAAGTTCTGCTCTTTTATTAAACCCAAATGTTACTGCACTTGTGCTTCCTAGGTTTAGATTATATAATGCCTAAAGGTGACTCTGGACTTCAGAATTCTTGGAAGAAGGTTTCAGTCTCCAAACTCCTTGAGACTTGCAGGATTGGGCTCAGAGTACAGGTCTAGCCTGCTGGGTGTCTAAAAGCCTACGGGTGAAGTTATGGCTTGAGTGGCAGGTTGAGTTCATCCTTTTCTGTCTCCAGGCCTCAAGTCCCAAACTTTATGCACAGCTCTAGCCGGGCAGAAAAAAAATCCTACATGAGCACTAACCCACATTCTCTAAGGTCAGGTCAAATTAGAGCAGACCTCGACAGTGATGCTGTCCAATACAGTAGACACTTGCCATATATGGCTATTTAAATCTAAATTTAGTTAAATCAAAGTTTCTCAGTCACATTTCAAGTACCCAACAGTCACATATACATTTGTATCTTTACCAAAAAACAAAACAAAAAAAACTAGGCAAAGGCTTTTTTTCTTCTTTAATTGCTTACAAGTAAAACTAGGCAATTAGCAACACCATTATGTGTTACCTCAAAGGTAGAGAGACGAGCTTTTTTTTAAAAAAAGTCACAATTTTTATGGTTAATTAAATTCATTTTTAGCACGTAGGGCATTAAACAATCACGTTTAAATCAACAGCACATGGCTGGGCACAGTGGCTCAGACCACAGTGGCTGAGACCTGTAATCTCAGCACTAGAGGAGGCCAAGGTGGGAAGACTGCTTATGGCCAGGAGTTCAAGACCAGCCTGGGCAACATAGTGAGACCCTCATCTGTACAAAAAATAGAAAAATTAGCTGAGCATGGTGGCACGTGTCTATAGTCCCAGCTACTCTGGAGGCTGAGGCAGGAGATGGCTTGAGCCCAGGAGTGTGACGTTGCTGTGAGCTATAATCACGCCACTGCATTCCAGCTTGGGCAATAGAGCAAGCCCTTTTAAAAAAAAAAAAAAAAAAAAAATCAACAGCACCAATCTACATTGCTTAATGTATGTAAATTAAACTAGTATATACAAACCTTTATTTTAGATGTATCAAGGAGATTTGCAGTTCACAGAAACTCTGTAGAACCTCCACTAAAGTGATAATCACTATGAATTTGTCTATCTTTATATATTTTGATATTAATATTTATTATGTTAGTACTTCATAACGCAAGGCACAGATTTATCTTTAAAGATAAACATCAGTTGAAAATTTTTCTAGCTGCAAACAGGGTATTTTTTTCAAACTCTAAAGTTAAGCCTTCAGTCTGGTGAATTTTGCAAAAGGGTTTTAGTACTTTTGTAATTTTGAAACTTGGGGTTTTTTCAATTTCATCTTGTATACCAGAAACTGAGAAAAAATTTAATAAGTCATAAAACCTTTAGTTCTTTCTTTACTAAAATTTCAAATGTACATAAAGTACAAGTTTCCTATTTTATAAAAAAGGCACCAAGGTACAGAACATTAAGTTATTCATCTAAGATTACAGATATTTCTTTTCTTACCCAGTGTTTCAAATTCAGTCTTTAATCATTCTAGAGAGAGAGTAAATACCTCCAAAATGATTCTCTTTTTTTTTATTTGTTAAAATATCAAAAAATATTCTTTTTGTGCTCTCAGCTTGGGTATTTGCAGGCTGGTTAGAAGCACATAACCATTGATGGCCAGCACTGCTGGCTGGTGGAACTTCTATACCACATGGTCTAAAACCATAGACTATTAGACAAGGAAGCAGCCTTTGAGATCATCCTTTCAACCCCACCTTTCACAGAAGACAATGAAGCCCAGAGAGATTAAGAGGTCCTGTGAACACTTTCAGGCTATTCTCAAACATGCAGACACGTTCCCAACTTAGGGCCTTTGCATTCATTGGCTGTCCCTCCAGATACCAACATGGCCAACTCGCTAAGTAATTGTTCATATCCCCTTCTCGTGAGGCCTACGCTGATCACCCTCTTTAAAATCATAACATACACCTCTGACCCAAACTCCTGATCTTCCTTACTTTGTTTTTTTTTAAATAAACTTTTCATTTTAGAACAGTTTTATATCTATAGAATTATTACAAAGATAATAAGGAGAGTTCCTATATACCTCACACCCAGTTTCCTCTAGGTAACATCTTACATTAGTATGATACATTTGTCACAATTAGTGAACTAACATTGATACATTATTAACTAGAGTCCATACTTTATTCATATTTCCTTAACTGTTCCCTCAGGTTCTTTGTCTGTTCCAGGATCCTATACAAGGCACCACATGACATTTACTTGTCATGTCTCTTTTCTTTTTTACTCACCACTATACTAACAAGGATGTCGTGTCTCTTCAGCCTCCTCTCAGCTGTGACAGTTTCTCAGACTTTACTTGTTTTTGATGACCCTGACAATTTTGAACAGTATTGGTCAGGTATTTGATAGAATGTCCCTCATTTGGTATTTGTCTGATGTTTTTCTCATGAGTATATCAGTGCTGTATGTTTTTGGGAAGAAGACCACAGAGATGAAGTCCCATTCTCATCATATCACATCAAGGTTCATGTTAACCTCGGTCACTTGGCTTGAGATACCCTTTTTCCTTAAGCATTTACCTTTTCTAACATATCACTTAATTGACTTATTTAATCTGTAGTGTTCCTCTCCCTCTGCTAAAATATAAGCTCTATGAGTCCAGGAATTTGTGCTCATTGTGTTCTCTAACATATCCCAAGTACATGGAACAGTGCTGGTGCACACACACACACACACACACACACACACACACACAGAGGCACTAAATGGACACACGTTGAATGAACACATTGTTATCCCTCTGCATGACACTCATGGCCCTTCATGACCTATCCACCTCTCCAATTTATAGATCTTGTCCAATGCCCACCTTGCTGTTTTACTCCTCCATGCTTTTGTCCAAGTTGGGGAGCCTTTCCTAAGTGTTCAGGCTCTCGCAGCACCTTGGGTTTGCCCCCTTGTGCTGAAATGATTGGCCAGTTTCTCTAGAGCCCACTCTGAGCTACTTGACAGCAGGCACAGTGCCTTCCTCCTTCCCCTCCTATATAATCTCTTTGTCTTCATCCTTCCAGGCTGTTTTCCAATCTTACTCTTCTCAGGAATTTCACCTTTTCTCTGGGCTCTATAGCCCTCAATTCACTACAGTAAATGGGTCTGATGTCAAATTTGGTTTTTATACTTGAGTACCTCTTCTAGCCTGCCTCATTTGGTTTTGAAATTAACTAATTAAAAATTAGTTAACATATTTAGACAGGACGAGATATGAAGGGTACCTTCCTCTGACAAAGTAAACTGAGTAAAATCAGTGTGTGGGTGCAGTGTGGTTTGTCTCAGCACAAAACTGGAAATCAGGAGCAAATTAGAACTGTGTTCTAAAGGTGGCTTAACCACACACTTACTGGGTGGCATTTGGCAAACCATTTAACCTCTGGGTGGATGCCTTACTCAGCTACCTATATCCAATAAAAGTTGCTAATATCAAGTTGCTTTGCATGTGGATCGTTCACTAGGTGGCTCTTCCAACAGGTCTTTAAAAATGTATACTGCTATATAATTATGGAGCACTCCATTGGACCTCACCCATTCAACAACCATGTGCTCCTGGTCTCTCCCTGGAATCCAACAAAGGCCAAGTCAGCAACCAACTATTTATAATACACTACTTTTCAGCCAAACTCAGTGACCTACAGACATTTTATCTTATATTTATATAGAATGCCCTTACTGTAAAAGGGGTATTTTCCCTATTTAAAAGATTGAGAAAATTGAAGTCCATCTGCCAGTGAGGTACTATAAGAGCTTAACGCAAAGAATGTCATGCATGCATCAAAATGTAACAGGATGGAGAATCAGTGCATTGCTATTTCCTAACAAGGAAATCTGCCATTTACATGCTCATTAAGCAAGGCTAATTAACAGGATGAACATGGCAGTCCTCCCATACAGAGGCAGAAGGAGATAAGAGTAATAACTCTAGCCTGACCCACACAAAGACGCCATGTTCTCCAGAGCTGGATGATAAAAGTGCTGACTTCCTCCCTCTTGACTAAATGACTTATAATCAGAATTTAATGAGTGCTGGAGGTGTCTGGGGTCATGTTGTTTCAGAAGCAGCTGGACTAGGAAGAAAAATGCAATGCCAAAGACACCTAGAATACTCACAAGCATGGTCAGCATTCATGGCTCTCACATAGACTTCACTTTGGTTAAGGTTGGGACTGACTGAGAATTTTCTAAGAGTTACATAATGTGAAAGACCCACCATAAGTGGATCTGACCCTAGTAAAATGACCTTTCTGGCCCAGGAGACTACATGATTTTTCATGGCGCTTTGTCATAAAGACAATGTGAGTATGTCAGCGGA